TCCTGCTTTCCCCATTATTTAAATTTCAAACAGACACACTTGCTCAAACAAAGCAGAAAAAAAACAGGGCAGACAATAAATAAAATAAAATAAAACTAAGTGGAACAGAACATTTTATTGAGTGTATGCTGTTCTAGTGGTTGATCAAATCAAATGGCTATGATGTGAAACCAAAGTAAAATATAATACCATATAGGTACATTATCAGTGGTGGAGACTGGGAAACAGAGCAGTACTAAGGAAATATAACTGCTGTATAATACAGAAGAGGGCAGCCACCAGGTACTTTGACTAGCTGTGACAACCCATTGTGTCTTGCAGGGGTGGGGATAGCATCTCAAGTCATTGTGATATATTTAAACATTTACTACATTGTGGTGTTGGCCTGGGCTATCTTCTACCTGATTCACTCCTTCAAAAATCCTCTGCCCTGGTCCACATGTGACAACGTGTGGAACACTGGTAAGGCATGACTTGAACACACAGTAAATCTTAATTTTTTATTACATGAATTCTACTATATTTTTAACATTTTGATGTGTGCACCATCTATTTCACCTTTGTGCCTCTTTCCTCAAGCGTTATGTCATGGTCGAATTGGCATTTATGCCAACCCTGATTTGTTTCGAGTTGACTCCAACTGGTCATTCCTACACAACAACACATCACCTGACTACTTTGAAAACAACACTTACATGTAAGTTGCATTTTATTACTACGCTGTACCTGGTAAACTATAACCATTTAAATTGATATGACACATTGAATGCATAGTGTGAATATTGGTGATACTTAAAAAAGAATGATGAGAAAAACAGGATTGGTCTTGGCTTCCACACTCTAAATGTAGCAGCTTTGTCACACACCCATGTTGTGTGTTCAGAGCAGGAGGTTAAAGTAATAAATGTAAACACTATTAATTATCGTCTTGGGACACTTCCAGAGTGAAAGGTACGCCCTATATAAATATAAATTATGTGCCAAACATTACTTTGATAGTGGCTGAAAAACAAGTATGGTGTGAAACTGTAGGAAATACATTTGGGCATTTTAGAAAATATGTTTGTCCTTGCCAAGATTTAGATGGGAAGATTGATCATTTTTGTTTAGTAAATATGGAGCTACAGTCAGCAGTTGGTTATCTTAGTTTAGCATAAAGACTGGAAACGGAAACCGCTTGCTCGACTCTATCTGAACACAGAGTACCAAAATCCCCAACACTGAAACTCAGTAATTAACAGGTTAAATCCTGTTTTGTTAATCTGTACCTGCTGTAAAGCTAGACTAAGCCAGGCCTGTACACTATATATGCCTGGTATTAGCTTATTGCATTCATAAAAAGTAACTCAGAAACTCCCGACTAGGTCAGATGTAATTTATAGATGCCATTATGTCATTTGTCCACCAGAGAGACCAGCCAATTGGACTTTTCACTTGTTAAATGACTTTTAAAAATCTGTGCGTGTGAAATATTCTCATGTAACTCTTGGCAAGACAGTGAAGAAGTGCATTTCCCAAAATATCTCTATAATAATAATAATAATAATAATGATTAAAAATTATTGATAGTAACATCACTTTAAAAGTTATTGATTATATTGTAGTTATTTGTGTCATACTATTAAGAAAGTCTGCACAGGAAATAACTTGACGATTATAATATTAACGTCCCTTTATTTTTTTATATTTCCAGCAATGACACTGACCAAATACTGTTGGTCAAGTCACCAGAAGAGGAGTTCTGGATGTGAGAAACATTCCCACTCTTATCTTCTTTAAACATCAAAAAAAGTTTCCTTCCTAATGAGCATTTCTCAGCAATGCTTCCCAGATATACCTAAAGACCACCTCTACTCTTGGGGTGCTGAGTGAGTGTGAGCATGTTAATGGTGAAATGACAAAAGGTGAACAGGGTTCACCTGAACACAAGAGGAAAGGGAAGCCAGCTTTAATAGATAATTTTGCCACAACACCAATCACACCACTTTTATCCAACTTCCAATTTTGCTAGAAGGTTGTTGGCTCTGCTTTGTCTTAATTTTTTGAGATTTCAAAATATGGCTGGGGGGGTAATAATTTCCTGATTTGTTGTGAGAGCAGATGTTGGCAAATCACTTAGCTATAGTAGATACAAGAAAACGATTTGTGGTCTTTTTCTTGCAGCTTTCATTATATAAGGTTCTGCCATCCAAAATAAACTTACAGTAATTATAACATCTGGATTTATGATGTACATGTTTGGCCCTGTTTGCTGTATATGCTTGCTGTAAAATGAAATATGGCTTTAAACCCATTCTTGTCATCAGTTAGACACATTTGTACCAGGCTGAGTTAACTGCAGAGGGAGAAAGCTTTTGAAAAAAGTAAACAAAGTGTATTTGTATGCATCTATTATTCTGCACACCATTTGCAGAACATGCTTTTGTGTGACTACATGTCTGATCCCATTCCCACAGTAACCGTGTGTTAAGACTGTCAGATGATTTGTCCCTGGGAAAGGTACACTGGGACCTGGCTCTCTGTCTCCTCGCTGCCTGGGTTATATGCTACTTCTGCATCTGGAAGGGAGTTAAATCCACAGGAAAGGCAAGTACTCCTTTAGTATACACAGTCTAGGTAAACAAAGTTAGTGACTAGCTGATAATCATAGTGAAACATTCAACAGATAAAGAGCATTTGACTCAGGGGTTGGTGGAGGCCAAAATCAGAGCTAAAAGAAGAATGAATATTGGACTTCTCATTATGTTTGTAGGTGGTGTACTTCACTGCTACCTTCCCCTACCTGATGCTGTTCATCCTCTTCATTCGTGGAGTGTCTCTCCCAGGTGCTGCAAAGGGTCTGAA